CTGCAGTTCCTACTATCTCTGCTGGAGAAACTCCACAGGTCTGGCAACATCCATGGAGAGAAGCAGAGTTAATGTCTTGAAACGAAAGACTCTGAAATATTAAGTCTGTTTCTCTCTCCACAGCTGCTACCAGACCTGCCAAGTTCCTCTAGCATTTCCTGTTTTCATTTCTGATCATCTCCTCTCCTCTCTTGGTTACTTCCAAATATTTTGGGGGCAACTTGCCTTGAGAATTGTAAATTATGTTTACCCAATTGATTACCTGGAGAAATCATAATTAAGTGTTCCAAACCCACTCCCAACCAAAAGAAAATTGAGTGTTCCGTTTTTGAAATAAGGAGGGGCAGAAAGGGAACTTTGCCACAGTGTTGTGTATCAATGTCAATTGATCTGCACTCATTGATAAAGTTAACTTGCAGAGGTGAGTGCTGCTAAAACATAACAGCATCATGGAATCTACATTTGCCACTTTTTAAATGCCCTCTCCAAGTAATTTAACCACTAAATGTTTTAAAAGGTTTCCTTTGGCAAAGTCTTTATTTTTTTTTTTAAAGAACCATTTCAGTAATTTCATTCTCTCTTTTGCTTCACTGTCGGAAATATATAGCATATTTTCTTCACTGGCTGCTATCTCTAGAAAATGAAAAACCACACCTGATTTCCTCTAAAATTTCTTGACTTTTCTTCTCTTCACCCCTCGTCCAGTGGAATTTCAAAAGCAGACGTCAGAGAGCGACTAATGGTACATAATTTTCAATCCATGGTGCAATTATGATATTAACAATTCTGTTGTGAAAGATGCCAAATATTACTATGTTGGCTGGTACTTTATTTATTTGTTTTTAAATTAGTTCATTTATTTGTATAAAGCTGTTTGAACACTGAAGTTGAATGTTGTGAAAGTAGATTCTACCAATTCAGTTCAATTCACATCCACCAACCTCCGCCACTGCTTTTATTATCAAATGGGCAAAATATGTGGATATTTTCACTACATTAACTGAATTTCCATCTTCTACTGCTATAAATCTGTTATTGACATTGTTTGGGCATGTTTAAAACTGTTCTAAAATGACAGTTCCCCTGCAAAGTATTTTTTTTCCATTAAACTCATAACAGACTAAGTGAGGATCAGTTCTGAGGAAATGCAGCTCTGCCAAGTGTGTTGTCTCTCAGGATAAGAGGTTAAACCTGATCTGTCCCATTGGGTGGGACCGAATGTGGCCATTACATTATTGGAAGAACAGGGAAGTTTTCCTCTGTGCCTAGGAGCCTATATCAACCAACATCCATTTTAAGAGCAGATGACCTAGCTATATTTCACATTGTTGTTTGCAGGAACTTGCTACATGCAAATTCATGCAGTTGTATTTTCTATGTTACAATAGTAATTCAGCTTCTAAAGTAATTCATTGGCTGTGAGGCATTTTGGGGACATGTTGCGGTCATGACAGTGCTTTAGAAATGTGAGTACTTCCTTTAACTACCAGTTTATTGCACTTCATTATTGTTATTATTTTAAAATCAAGTTCACAAGGGCATATGAGTGCCAGGACCTTCATTTATTATCATCTGTCACTTTTTATTAAACAATATGACATTTTTAGGTGTAGAAAACATCAGAGCTTACAGAAGTGATTCTGAGATGTCAGAAATACTTGGTTCCTGCTTTCTTGATAGGTTCTTCCATTCTTCCTTATTTTTTTTCTCCCTGTACCCCATTTCATCAAGCCCCATCTCTAATTTTCCCCAGAAGACACTGAGAACAAGAAATGTGTCAATCTTGAACAAATGTAGCCAAAGCCATTTTTGTAACCACTGTGCCCAAAGTAGACAACTTCCAGAAGGATGCACAATAGTGCAGCATTGCAACCTTGGCTAATTTTTTATTTGACTGCACTTAAATGGGAATTATACGCACTCCAACTGTTTCCCTGTTCAATATCAAGGCCTGAGTCAGGGATGTTTGTGACCCATATCACTGCATATACAATGTATGATGCATTTTCTTATATGGTATGTACAGCCACAGCAATATGCCATTTGGGTCCAAGAAATCAACATCGGTGCTTATGTTCCACTCCACCCTTCCATCTAAGAGGCAGAAATTGCATGAGTTTTTAATCAAATTAAACATAAACAACAATACTGTAGACTAAGTTCTTATTTCTTGGAGGCACCACCAGTAGTTCCCAGTGGTAATTATAGGACTGACTGAAAATAGTGAACAATATTGGTTTACTTCATTAAAATGAAGGCATTTGGTCTATTGTGTCTGTGCTTGCTTTTTGCTAAAACAATTCAAAACTAATCCCTTTGCTTCTTTCTCCTGAAAGTCCTGGATTTTTGTCTGCTTATAGCATGATGCAGTTTTGCTTAAAAGATCTAATCATCTCAGCCTCAACTTCTTCTGCCCTCTTAATTTCTTAATGGTAATTTAAATAGATGACCCATTGTCAATGATTACTCATCCAACAGAAATGTTTTTCTTTTCTCCTGTAGCCTACATAAACATTTCAAAATTTTAAAACATCTTGTATATTGAAAAGTCAACATGCACTGAAAGTTAACCGAATGTTCTAATGACATGAGGTGTGATTGAAAGTTTAGTGAGTGCGTACAGGACTAGATGACAGACTGAGTACTATATTTAATTGTCTTACTGTTGGGTGACCAGTGGAAGTCAAGGAGCACCCCAGAGTCACAGACTTGATGTAGCCAGAAAAGATTTGAAGCTTCATTCTTTGTTTCTAATTGCTCTCATTAGCATTGAAGGCTGTTGTTTAATTCATGGCAGACAGTCAAGGTTGAGATCAATGATAAATGCTGCATTTAATAGGCCAAATACTTCTTGCAACTTTTAAAATATTACATGGAAACTATGACACTAATATGACCTCCGAGTTGTTGAAGATACATTGGGAGATACATTCTTGAGAATAGGTTGGGAAGATAAAAAGCAAAAGAACCAGGGTATGAGACATTTCAGGATAGATAATACAAAATTAAGTTTCAAAATGAAGACCAAAGACTCCAAATCCAAAAATATGCCATTTATTTTCATCAAGCAAAATTTGTCATTGAGAAGTCAGATCCTAGATCTGAAAATTAAAGACAATGCAGCTGCCGTGGATAAGATCCTGAATAGTCTCCATAAAGTGGATGTGGAAAAGATGTTTAGTTTTCTGGGTCCGTTAAGAACCGGGTGCAGGGGATCGCTATTTTAAAATTAGGATCACCTTCTTAGGATAGAGACGAGAATGATTGATTTCCTTTCAAAGGCAGATCCAAAGTTGCATAATCCTGAGAAGGCATTAGATGTGGGGTGTTGTTGAATATTTTTAAGACGGAGGTAGTAGATTCTTCTTGGGCAAGGGAATCAAAGAATATTAGAGATAGATGGAAATGCGCAATTCGTAACACAAACAGATCAGCCATGATCTTATCAAAGGATGAAGCAGGCTTAAGGAGCCAAACGGTCTACTGCTCCTGTTCTATATGTTCACAATATAAGCCAGTTGCTACTCGTGCAGCATTTCCAAAGGGAATAGTCAGATCAAGTGTAGGACTACAATATGTCCATTCCTGCCATTTTAACTATAAGATAATACAGTAATTGGTGTTCCAGTGAAGTTACTCTCAGGTTGATTACTGGAAGACATGTTTTACTTTGTTTTAGCAGTTGCACTTGGCTTGGACCCTTTGTGTTGCGTGAACTTGAAAAGGGTGGTGATAAATGAAGGGACAAAAAAATAAAGAAACTAATGCAAATGAGCAGTGTGTAAAAACAGATGAATATTTTGGGAAGGATAACAATTTTTCATGAAGTGTTCATGAGACCATAATACTGAACAACGATGTGATGCTGTTTAATGATGTGATTTGAGTCAAGTGTCCTCTGGTCCAAATCAATGCCAAGAATTCTATAAACAGACTGTTTATTATTTATTAATTGAATTGCCAATTTTCACCTGAAATAAAATCCTGACCCTGCTGATAATTCACACTGAAGCCTTGAAAGTTACTGTTTTTGTTTTATTCTGTGTGAACTGAATGCTGTGATAGAGGGAGAAACAGTATAACATGATTTGCACTTATCATGTATTAATCAACTTTGAGAAAATTGGGTTTCAGCAGGTTTATTATGTCAATAAAATGAAAATGTTTTTGTTTCATTTTGGGGTGGGGCAAACAACAAAAGGTTGCTTTTAAACAGCACCTTTTAAGAGAGCAAAACATCATAGGTAGTAGACTAAAGACTCTGACATTAAATCTCACTTTAAAACATGAGCACTTCTCTTGGGTTCCACTGTGCCAGCCTGAACTGCTGCTTTAACTACTGTACCCCTTGACATTAGCTCACCATACAATATCCAAGTTTGGGCTGACAAGTGCCCAACCATCTTCAGCAGGTTCATTGAAATATAGCTGAGGCTATTCAGCTTGCTCTGCCATTCAATATCATACTGGTTGATCATTCAATGAGTTCATTGTACTGTTCCTGTTCCTGCTTTCTCCCCATTTTATAGAGTCATAGCACAGAAACAGACCCTTCAGTCCCACTCATCCGCATCAACTGGACATCCCA